CCCCCCCCCCCCCCCTTTTTATTCACCAGGGACCTACACATGCGATGCATGTTTTAGTGCAGCGTGCAACATGCGTTAAACACATGAATAAGTAAATTGTAATGTTAATTTTTTGGAATGCAATCAAGTCAAGTAAAATAAAAATTATTTTTCAAGGGGTAAGTCTCAACTGAACCTTGTAGTGTAGTGGTGTAGAAGAGAGACTGGTGAGCGAGAGGTGTGTGAAAGATAAGTGGTTCGAGACCTGATGGGGCACATGAAAAAAAAGGAAAAAAATCCGTGAGGAGCCTGGGTAATATGGAGAAGAAAAAGAGGACAGAATGAAGCTAGGGGAAGAGGAGAATCGGCGAAAAGACAACGCGCGATAGCGCGCCACAGTTCGCAATCAAATCCTCTTTTATTCACATAGTAAGTAGTAATTATCAATGTATATATTCAATACCTTGGGGAGTTGCTATTGTCTTCAAAGACAATAGAGCGCATACATAATTAATAATTCTGCATGCATAATAAATGTATGGGGTTATACGGAAATCTTTCTTGCGTCTGTCCTCTTATTGATGATGAATTGCATGATAACATTGTCAAAGTGGCTGTGGAACCACGAGCCGCAGGCGAGTGGTTCCGCAGTAAACTTTGACAATGTTATGACGACATTTATCATCAATAAGAGGACAGACGCATGAAAAACTGACGTCAATTTGTTTTTTTACAATAACAAGACCCCAAAATGGTCAAATGTCGGGAATAAAAGAGGGGAGAAGACGCCGTAAACTTGTTGTGAACAAAGATAAGTGAATTTATTCAAAGTGATGGGAGCATTGTCAATAACTTTTCTCGCTTTTTGGTTGGCTACTTAAAAAAGTCCATAAAATCTCATTGGTTAAAAAGTTGACAGTTTGACAGGTGAAAGTTAAACTTGAAAGCTTGCATAAATTTAAATTTTATCTGTCTGTACTCTTATTGATGATAAAAATGAGCCAATCAGCGCGCGATTAATTAGACAATTATTGTAAAAAATTAGTTTGATTATCAATGCAGGGTTTTCACTAAGTGTCAGCTCCCAATGAAATTTGCCAGTTGAGAAAGAGGTTATTGCTGGCATGATTTTGGGCAGCAATCACTCCGTAAAGGGCAACAAAGAGTTTTTAGGTTGCATATGTACAATCATTTGTTATCGAACCATATCATCTACCTTGAGTATCGGTGCCACTATAACGGGCAAAGAAATTGAAACAAAATCTTGTTTTGAGCACTTGTTTAGCATGTCCTCTTTACATGCCTTGTGACCTCCATCTTCTAAATGCAAAGCTTGGTAACCCCACATTCAAGGCGTACATGTAGCAAAAGATTCTGATTGGGAATGAAATTTTGTTATCAAGTCTCTCATTTAAGATTGCAAGCCTAATACATATGAACGGTATGCCAGCACAATGAAAATCTCCATCAGTACACTATTTTCTTGGCCACAACCCTGCCATTGAGTGAATACCTTTGGAGATGCATGGGGGGGGGATGATACAAAGTACTGCCATCCTGCTAAATCAGGTTAAGTTCTTAACTTTATTCTTAAAAGAGTGTATATTGTAGAAACTTCTCATTGGTATTTATTAGTTTTATTTAGACTAGTCTGATAACAGGGTGTTGCTCATGGACCTCAAATGTAACACTGATACATACAGTACATGTTCATGTAGATGAAGCACCTTCCTTTGAAAGATCATGGTGCAATATTTCAATGTAAGATTATTGTGGTACAGGATTGATTGGAATCACCTTCAGCCTTAGAAAATCACTCACTCATTGTTACTAAGGCTTGTACTTCACGTTTCTTTCTGTTTAATACATTTCAGTTCCAAAAGCCAGACTCCTCACAATACAGAACTCCTCAACATCTTGTACGATGCTCAGAAAACTCTTGCAACAACTGGTAAGACTGTGCAGAAACAAGGACAGCAAATTGACTCTGCTTGCAACAACATGAACAAGATACACAATGATCTGGGTGTTGCAGAAACTTTAATTTACAATCTGGATTCATGGCTAAGCAAATGGAACATTGAAACTCCTCAGGTGTACATAGATGTTCCAGAGCACAACATGATCATCGAAAAAGCTGAGTATCCTATTGTGTATGCCAGAACTCAAAAAGAAAAACACCTCCCTGGTACTTTGACAGTATCAAATAAATCATTGGAGCTCTTTAATGCAGAAAGAAATCTTGATGTCTGTTTTGCTGTCAAGGAGATAACAGAAGTCAGCGTCCATACTCCCTGGGAGGTCACAATATCGCAGCTAAGGATTGGCCATGCTGGGCATTCAGTGCATCTGATTTCAGCTCGTTTGGTTCACATTCTTCAAACTCTTGAGGTTCTGTTACCTGGCAGAATTAATTATGATGAGCCTCCTTATGATGCTGGGGATCAGGATGGCTACAGTTTGGATTCAGACCAGTTTCCTTCTCAAGGTACATGTACATGCACATACACCATGCAAGATATGTAAGCCTATTGACTGACGTAACCCTATGAGCCTATAACAGGCCTACATTATTGTGCTTTACAATATTGTATTCTGAGGGTTTAGCGTCATATCCCCTTGCACGCACTACGCGCCTATGATGCTATTCAAAGATGTTGTCGACCATGCTTTTAAAATTACAGATTAAACCAAGTGTGTGACCATTCAAACAAAAGCTGCAGAGTACTGTTTTCAGATTATACTGGTTATTATGCTGTACAAGGTCATTTGAACTTTTTGTCTGTAGATGAAACCTTAGTGTGTAACCATTCAAAATGAAAGCTTTTGAGCAGGTACTCTCATGTAGTCTTGTTTACTATGCTGTTCAAGCTGAGCGGCTCTGTAGCTTTTAAGGATAGTATGTTGGATTCTGGATTGAGATTTTGTGGTTAACTGCCTTTGCCAGGGTCACTCAGACTGCATTATGTTTTGGGACAAACTGTCACGAATTGTCACGGTGGCCTGGCAAAATGCTGCCAGGGCCGAGGGGGATGGGTAATCTACTGTAGCGTCTCTGTCGAGAGAATCAAGTTCAGAGGATTAAACAAATATTATTTACCTTCATGTAGTGACCCTACAAATCTGATTCAATGTTATAGGTGACGAGAGTGAAGAAGACAGCCAAGAAAAATTTCCTCCTTCAAGTAGTACAAAAGGAAAAGATTCCAAGGTGGTAACAGATGCTGAAGCAGCAGAAATGGGCCGTGTTCTGCAGGACATGAGAAGTCTCGCACTTGGCATCCAAGGGGAACAAGACAGACAGCTTGGACAACTGGACTTGCTGTCTGACTCAGTCGATAAAGCTAACGAGAGAATCAGAACTGATGTGCGCAAGGTCAACAAGCTCACCTAAATTTGAAGCATTTTTTTTTAATCTTAATGTAAAATGAAGAAAAGGTTTTAAATGTTTTCTGTGGGTCCCTGTATCACTCTATTAATAAGGGGTGGCCGGAATAAAGCCCCTAGTGACGTCTGATAAATTACCAGGTTGTCCTTCCAAATTGCTTTGTATTCCCTTGTAAAACACAAGAAGAGTTTGATGTTACATCAACAGTCGCTTACAGTATTGCCTTATTCTGCACATCCCTTCATTCTTTACATGCCGTGGTTGTCTGAAACCTTTGCAAACATCGGTTCCCAGCTCGGTTTCAAACTGGAGCTTGGTGGGTTAATACGAGTGCACTGTGCATTGATAGTAAAAAGTTGTTTCCTTGGATTCTTTGAATGAGCAAGCAATTACTAGCGCTCAACAATTACTATGAAAGAATGAAGTTTAGAAGCCCAAATCAAACGAAAAAACTGCGCTAGCTTTAAATTCACAGAGATAGACCAACACATGATCAGTACATTTTTGTAGGACAAGGTGGCAAATATTTACTCCTAGCAGCAAACCTACGAAATTCAAATGTTTTATTAATAAATTAATAATTATAGTTTTTACTGCATGTACGAGAGGCTTACAACGGGGAAGATATTTGATGTTTTGGTGAATGTAAGCTTCCGACTTGTAAAAGTGGAAGCTTTTATTTGGAAAAAATAAAATGTATATTTGATTCATTTACTTATTTATTACCTCAGTCACGTTACGTTATGGTCAGTTATTTTGGCCACGTACAAAATTAGCTCTTATTGAAGTAAACCTGAAAAGTGTAGTTTACTCAGAAAGAAAACCACCAAAGAGATACTAAATTATAAATAAACCTTAAAGAAACAAGGATGGTTAAGGATGGAGAAGATTACCACAGATTACAAACGAAAAACTTAAAACCTAAACTTTTCAAGATGTGCAAACCGTGACGTAGCTCCTTGTATGTCAGGCATCCACGCTCTACGTGAAAAGTGCATTATTTAGCTTCGTGGGTAAATAGGGCCATGGGTTCTCGTAGAAGGTACAGTTTGCGATGAGACTGGGTTCTAGATTGACACTGTACCGTAAGGTGAACCAACACTCAAACCAATTTCCGTGCGTTGTTTGTTCAACCAAATGGTAAGCATAGAGGAAATGACAACACGGAAGTGCCATTTAGTTGAAGTTGTCAGCTTTTAGTCTCGCATTACGTGTCTCCAATCATCGCTAACTGTTCCTGTTTAAAACAGCGAAGAATACCGCGAACTTTCAGCTATAGCATACGGATCTTAACGGAGTGTTTTTTTCTAAAACATCCGGGAGACATAAAAATCACACTGGTAGTGAATATTGAGGTAAAGTATGAATTTTTTTGTGCTATCTGTAATAAGTAAATGTCTTTTTGAGGCGTTTCCAACCGATAAATAACCTACGGACTTCAAAATCGTATTTGTCATAGGATGAAAAGACGGAAAAAGCAGAAGATTAATTTTTTTTAACACTGATGAAAAGTGGTGACATTTGTACAATCTCGATATCATTATCGCGCCGTTTTGTTGTGATGTTTTGACGCTTGCCTGACTGTAATCATTTCTGCCCTCGAAAATTTGCTGAACAGGAGAAAAATGAATCTGAATCTTGCTTTTGAAATTTAACCAAAGCTGAAAGCGTTTAATCGCTACGGTTAAACGAAAGCGTGGCTTAACTAAAGGAAAACAAAACACTTGCTAAAAGGGTGTTAAGGGTTATATATTCAGGGCATTCGATGACGGCTTCACATCAAAACATTTGACCTCAATCTCGAGCATTTACTAGACATGTCAACAAGAACTTTAAAACAGTATTGACTTAATAAAAATCGTTGTATTGTGCTGAGCAGGGTCTCTGACGGCTGTCAACAATCCGGTTATACCAGCTGCAGGAAACTTGTTTTTAACCTCGTTTTAAGGCGCGATTTTCCTGACCTGTTATTGGATAGCATAGAATCACGTGGCGTTGATTGCCCACCATTTTAATAGTGTAAGCGTAGATATATGAATTTTTTTTTGTTTTGACTTGTTTTGTAGCAGAGCACTTTGACAAACGACGTAATTAAATGGAAAATACTTCATGAAAAGTCTTTCCCAAAAGTCCGAATGCACATTGTTCTTTTTCTTTGATGTTTTCGAATGTTTTGAACAGATTGATTGGAAGTAAAACCTTAAGCTCCGGTCATATAGTTCTTGAAGTTTTTGCCATTTAGCTGAATATTCCGATCTAGAGAAATTAAGTGTGCTAATGTGTGTTGATGTTTCCACCTTGAATAATGGCCTACAAACTAGGGGTCCTGAACCTATTCCGAAGCATAGCCCTTTGCACGCAGCCTGGTTTTCAGACCCTAGTTCAAATCAGTTTAACAACTTTATCTTGGGATTCGACTGAGCTGTTTCAATATTTGAGTTGAAAAAAAAATAATGTTTAACACCTGGTTTATACTCGATCATTAAATGCAGCCAGATTTATTTTAGATTAGACAGGACCAGGAGAATTTTTTTTTTTTTTTGCCCTATATCTTTGAAAACGAAGCCAAGATGGTTTCACAAATCTGCATTTCAATGGTACGTTTAGCAGGTATAAGATGTACGAATAATCCATCGATGTTACCATTAATATTAAACTAAAACTCAGCGAATGCACCGAAAAGCGGCACAAAACAAGAAAAAACGGACATTAAAAAGAAATCCTATAGCTGGTGAGGTGATGTGGAAAGCCAAACCGGCCTGGTCAGTTAATAGAGCTTTGTCGGTCAGGGTAGCCTGTGTAGGCGTTCATTTCCAAAAACACGCGAAGAGAATGAAATCGCGCGCTCACTTGCTAAATCTCCCCGTCTGGAAAATGGAAAGAAAACGTCTGCTACACAGGCTACGGTCAGGGTTAAAACGCCTGGCTGTCTGTCTGTCGTATTTAACCGATCCATCCTCGGCCTATAATTAGCGATTCTTTTGTCTAAAAATCTGGATTATTTTCTTTTCTTTCAAGGGTAGTTGTTGGGTATTCCTGTTTTAATTCCTTTGAAGAGTTTCTCTTAATTTTGTGTTTCCGGGACTAATATAAGTGCAAGGAAAATGTGCTAAGAAATTTAGTTTTGTCAGTATCAGGAGAGAACATTCGTGACAGGTTTTCTATTCCAGTTAATAAATGATTTAACATGTTGAAACCAGAAGGCAAGTGGCTTTAATTTTGTGAATTGGTTTTCTTTTTTTGGAAACGAGACACAAACAAGATTTTGAATAATTAATGATTTAACACCACATAGCGTTTGGAGAATTCATATAACAAATTCATGCGGTGATGACAGTTTTCTGCCAGCAGAAAAAAAGATTCAGACTGCTATATCAGTAGTTGATAACAACTTCACAGGCCACAGCAGTTCAGTTTGTAGACACTTAGAAAGCACAGCGATGAGATAACTGCCGGGATGCACGGTACATGAGTGAAATAAGGAGGTAAGGATCAGGAGAATCGACACGATACCACGACAAATCAATTTTTCATGCACACTATTATTATTTTTCACTGTTATTTTTTTCTTCTAAGGCGCTTGTAATGAAATGTTACCAGTGATAACCAGAAAATAATATCAAGATTTGTTGCATGGTCAGTCAAATATTTAGTACACCGGCGCCAAATGCATATGCCCAGTTTGAATGATCTTCGAAAAAGAAACTTTTGACGGCAAATAAATATTGAGAGAGCATAAACAACTGAAAAATAACGGTATGAACTTTGAATTAGAACAGCCTTGTGACTTAGCTCTCGCTGAATGCAGTTCATCTGATAGATACGCGAACAGTAAAGCTATGAATTTGATCAAAATCCCACACTTGACCTATAAATTTCCATCAAGAGCAAAGTCGGTATCACTGATAACATACCGGCTGGCTTAATTATTTTCTTTCCAGAAATTGAAAATGTTTAACTCTGAGAATAGAATAGTACATCTGTGAGATAACATCTCTAAGTCAATTATCTTTTCTCTATTATTTTTGAAGAAAGCTCAGCATTACTTTGATACAGCAACGGGAATCATCGTTCATTAATCACCACCTTTTGTTTCGTATTTTCACCACTCCCTATCCCAACCCGGAGCAGAATTCCTTCTTAATTTACATTTACATCTGTTTGCATGTTTCGGCACATCGAGAACTCGGTTATAGATTAAAGTATACATATTGAAGAAAAATCAATCTACCATATGTTAGAGTAGCCAAATCGAGTCATCAAGAAGGTTTAAACGGTATATTGGCAATGCTTAGTTAAGCGCTAGCTAGATGGTTTGTTATGAGACGAGACAAATTTCCGCGAAAATTATTTTCTTCGTTATAACGGCCTCGAACACTTTTTGCAGGATAACAAGTTTAATTTGAAAAGCCGTTTCCAGGTAGAATTATTCTTTGAGGCGCCGTTACATGTAACTGTTGGACATTGTCATTTTAATTATTTCACGATAAAATGCAATACAGCTTTTTTTCAGATGAGTCTGCTGTCTGAAACGCAATTAAATTTAGTTTTACATTAGCAATTCAAAATAGAGCACAGGTTAAATAGCTTTCTTTGTTTGAGTGTAAATTGCCGAGATATTCCGACCGTAACGAATTAAATACAGCCTCAGATGTGTCTCTTAAAGATTAGAATCTTAACATTTCTTTGAAAGATAATGAACGTTTCTGAAATAGGTAGAACAACCAGTCAGATGAATTTTCAAGCTTCACACCTTGAACTAAAACAAGAAAAACAATACATTTTCTGCTTGGAGAAATGCTGAGACTAAAGAAAGCAGATACAACGGTAAAAATAAGACTAATTTCTTGGGAGAAACAAAATTTTACGATGTAAACAACCGGCTACATAAAAGCAGTAACTTCACTGATAGCTTTGTTTTGCAGCAGGCTTGGCCTTGATAGATTTAATTATCATCATCAGTTCCGCTTCTCCGTATGGAGAGTGGCCCAGAAATTCACTTCTCCAAGACGCTTTGTTAGCCGCCGCCAGTCCTGCCTCTACCCAAGAACAGTAACCCTATCGCCATTCGTTCTTTCTCCACTGTCCTATGCCATGTTTCTCCAAATCTTCCTCTCTTGCGTTTTCCCTCCGATGCCCACGTCAGTGCAACTCGTGGGAGGGAACTGGTATCCATTCGCAGCACGTGTCCAATCCATGTCTACCTCCATCTCCTTACTTGTTCTCCGATAGTTTCCACGGTAGCTCTGTTGCACACCTCTTCATATGACATGCGCATAGGCTAACAGA